TTGGAACCCTGAGTTGGAACCCTTAGTTGGAAGTTGGAACCCTGAGTTGGAACCCTGAGTTGGAACCCTGAGTTGGAACCCTGAGTTGGAACCCTGAGTTGGAAATCCTGACTCTTCTGTGATAGATAGGGATTGTGAGTGGCTCATTGTCTCAGTGTCTCAGTGTGATGTGTGGGAACCGGAGCTCTTTCGTGTTAGTATGGTAAATGGAACACGTCGGTTAGCGGAGACTGGAACTCGTGTTTTTTTTTTTTTTTTTTTTTTTTTTGATTGTGTGGGAACTAGAATGCTTCCGTTAGTGTGGGATACTGAGAACTGGAGCTGGAACTCTTCCGGTTTTTACCAATGGGCCTAGCTCAGTTGGTAAACCCACAAACCGTTGAAATACAGACCTGAGTTCGAATCCAGAGAGAACTAGATGCACAAAATTCCTGAATTACCTGGGCCCAGTCAGTAACTGTCAGTCTCATGATCATATCTCAACTTGTGAAAGACCTTTCACAAAAAGGAACCACTTCCGTTTGGAAACTGGATCGTTCTTTTTCTGTTAATGAGGCAAGGAATCTGTCAGGTCGGTGAGCAACCCCTTACCCTCCGCTTTTTGTCTGAGCTCTCCTCCCTTCTCCTCCCCTCCCGGGCAAACACACACCGGTTCCCCACTGAGCGAGACCTCCTCCATTCTTATCCATTTCTGTAACTGTGCTGACTTCACTGTTGATAGGCGCCGAATGGAAGTCTGACAATCGTCTCAGACGCGGAGGAAGCGTGAAGGATTGTCCCATTTGGTCCTACCTAAGATTGTTCCGTATGATTACCGCGTTAGGAATTATTTCAGTATGACGATTGTACCGTATGTTAGCATTGTTTGAGTGTCAAGGAGTTGTCAGACATGACATTAGTGGGTGGAGAAGAAGGCGGGGGGGGACAGTCAAATGATGAATGAGGGCTAGGCCTACTCATGATAGACATCTTCCTGTTTTACATGTTTGCATTTGGATTGAGGAGTTTGTTATTGGTTATGTCACATTGAACCCTCAAGCAGCTATAGACAGAAATGGATAAATACCTCCATCCCATACACAGCTAGAGAGAGAGAGAGAGAGAGGGAGAGAGAGTTTATATGATCAGGTTCAGCAGTGAGTATGTGAACCTCAGGGTTGGCAAGGAGGTTGAAGGGGGGGGGGCGGAGAGGAGAGAGAGAGTAGGTCATCAGGCTCAGGAGTGAGGGTGTGAGCTTTTGGGGTTGGCAAGGAGGTTGGTGACCTGATGGCTTTGGCCGGAATGGGTTTTTTTTTTTTTTTTTTTTTTTTTTTTTTTTTTTTTTTTTTTTTTTTTTTTTTTTCAATCTGATC